CTTGGTTTCTTGTCTAGATTGCACATACTTGAGATGTAATCCTCGAAATTACATAAACAAATTAGCTGATTTCAAAAAAGAATAGAGATAAAATAAGCAAATCCTTGGTTGAGTTGGTTACAGCTACCAGGCGAGAAAAAAGGCTAGAGACTACAGGAATATTTATGAAACGTAAAAAGGTTACCACATTTTACATCATTTTCATCCTTCACATTCTACAGAAATTTATTTTGCGATGTCAAGTAGAAAATGCAAATCCTCGCCTCTTTGTGAGGCACTGACATACGGCATCATTCCTAATTTTTCAGTCATGTGGCCTAATTACACTCAACGCGGGCGCTTTAGTGATTTCCCAAAATGCTTGAAAACGCAAAGAACGGGGATAATTATAATTTATAACTTTGAACATAACCTCTCTTCAGAAAGGGTAACACATAAATAGCCCGTCTACAGCTAATAGATATACTTCTTGGGCAGTATCTTCAGTAATAATTTTGTCATAAATATTGTAAGTATCACTGATTTTGTACACATGCAGATCAATACCCACAACACCAGACAATCATCCAGTATGATCATGCTACTCAACCAATTTTTATTCTGTCACATCTTCTCTGAGATACATTCTACAGACTCTCTGCATTCTGCAATTAACAAACCATGCTGGCGAACGTTGTTGAGTCATTCCTCCATAGGTGACGGTATGGGTCACGTTGACAGCGCTCATAGCGAGCAAGAGCGGAATGAACTATTTACACACTAGCAGCTATTTAGTCAGCAAGTTGACAATTTGACAGCTTTTTTTTTGACGTCTATAGGTTTTCACATAATGGCCCGCGAACCGTTCTTTTTCAAAAATAGCCGAGCTTCAAAAATACAGACCCGTTTCGTGACTGTTGTTACACCTGGTATATTTTAGCATACTAATGACTTGAGCTACTCAACATATCAGGTTGGCAAGAATAGAAATTCACAGCTTCAATATACGAAACTGAAAGTATGAAGGTCCTAAACTTTGGATTACCATAACATCCGTGATACAGTAAAATTTTATGTGAACATAAAGTTGTTGGAGTAAGAGTATATTTCACACTTATATTCACTTACCTTATTGAATGGTTGGCGCGAGACTATACCTGGAAAGAAAAAAGAAATACGTCAGTCTAACATAACAATAAAAGTATGTACATCATTACACACTTTCACGTGTATTATACGAAAATTTCATAATGGGGCAGCACACATTTTGTAATCTATACTCCGAAAATAAAGAAAATACTTGCAATGAGAATTCTGTACTCGGACCAAAACCTTAATGGTCCGCATGAAGATTCTATAGCATACTCAACTATCGTTTAAGGCCGGGCCAACAAACACAAGAGTCAATAGCCGCAGCTGCTGAGAAAAAGCTAGGCTATTTGTCTAGGGCTAAGAAGTACTTTTCGCCACATAGCCTCCTCACTCTGTACAAGGCCCAGATAAGATCTAGCCTATATTACTGCTCACATGTTTTGGGTACTGCCACCCCGACTACATTATCTATGCTCAATGGTGTTCAGAGGAGGGTTGTCCGACTGATCGATGACTCTTCTCTATCTCGAGATTCTTTAGCACCCACGACCCGTCGGCGATCCAGCCCTCTTCTACTGCCATGTCAACGGACTTTGCTCCTCAGAGCACTCCTCTATGATACCGCATTCTTCACCATGTCGACCTTCGCATATCCAGAACTACCCTAGTATTTATACTTTTGCCTAAGAGGCTGCTTCGGTATAAAAAAACACAAGCGCGCAAAATTCAAGTCCACGTCATCCTATTGGCCAGCGGGTCATAAATGCCTGGACCGGCAGCGACCAGCGAATAAATGCGATGATTAGTTTGAATAGAGTTCAGGAAGCTAATTTTCTACCCAAAAATTGGACACCTGATTTCCTTCTACAAATTTTTCAAAGGTCCTTAAGCTTCCACTTTGCACCTCGATATGGAGATACATAAATCATGTAATAAATCCCCGATACAGAACGGGGAGCTGCAACAAACAATTTTCATATGCATTGGATTTATTCTTGAATCTCCCTTCTGCATATATAAAGTGATGAATGGGCAGTCTCTTAAATTCTCTTCGCTATACGTATCCCCATATGCAGACATTCTAGCTTTTTTCCAGCAAAATGTTCAATTCATACTTAGAACATATATTTCTCTCACGGAACACCCAGTGACATGATTTGGACCAAAAGTAATAAACGATTTTCCTAGTTGCTGTGCATCGATAACATACAACGTAAATGGAAGGTAGTTTTATGAACAAACTGGAAAAAAAACAAGAAGTTTGATATCATTCCTTTCGATTATCAGTTGTTTAAATATTTGGTCAAACGTCTGAAAAAATGCCCAGCTTTGACGGCTCGCCGTTAAGCCATTTCTGAAGATATTTAGATAAATCCTAGTTAACAAAAAATGTATCATCATCTTACCTGGAAAAAGTGCTGAAAGTTCTTTCTATTTGCACAGGGTATTTCGAAATGTATATTCTACAAAGTTAAATAGTTATTTTGGTGAACTGTTTCTTGATATAAGGTTTATATAACTTTTTCCCAAACGTTTTTGAGTTTATTATTATTAATTTCAAGAAAAATCAAATACGTATTGTATTTAAACCTGAAATCAAATCCTCTATCAAAACAAAAGCTTTTATTAACACAAAAAAAATAATTTCAGCCTAAGACAATCAATCGTTAATAAATTGTTCGAATACATTATCTTGGTGCAAAGCACAGAAGGCTAGGCACGTGTTAAAATTATGCCCCAGAGAAAGAAGTCGAGAGACGTCAGATCTGGAGATCTCGTTGACCAATTCATTTGTCCGCCTCTCCCTATCTAACTATTAGAGCACCGGCGGTAAAATACTCAGGAACAGCTCGATGGTAATGCGGTGGGGCATCCTCATGTTGTTACCACAAACTACTCCTAATTTTTGAATTTACATTCTCTAGTAAAAAAGGTTACCCAAGTTGCTGAAATAACGTGGATGCGAAAAAAAGAACTGGACCTGAGATCAAACATCTGGAAACCAAATAAACTACTTGGAATGTATTACAACAATTTCATAATGAATGACTATCTTGGGTTAAGATGAGCCTTGTTGTGTGCCAAAAATCATTGTTTTCACGGAAAATCTAATTTTAAGTCAATGTGGAAGATACTTTTTTTTTCTTAGAACCATGGCAATAACTCGAAAACCGTTCGGAAAAGCTGGTATGAACCTAAAATAAAAAAAAGGTTTCCAAGGAAATATACAAGGTGTTCCATTTGAAATTTGTGAAAAAAGTACATTATTTTGCGTTTTGAGATACTCTGTATAAATTTTAGCATTTCTTCATTTATCTAAATATCACAACGATTTTCAATCGAAACCATGTATTATGTGATATCAAACTTCTTGTTTTTAAAAGCTCTATCCAATTATGCAATAAAATATAGGGCATTCTGTAAAAAAAAATGTTTGCTATGGCACAAATTTATGGAACACCCTGTATATATCAAAATAATTTTAAAATAGGTACTAGTAACATATCAAGCTCATCAGGAAAGCAGATTTTTGGTGGTTTTTCCAATTTGCTCATGAAACTACTCCATTTTTGTTGGGTCACCCTGTACAAAATGCTTATTCTGGCACACAGTTCTGCTGGCCGAAATGTCATTGAAGAGTTATACCAACATATATGTGGTTTTATTTAAAGAAAACTTATTCAAATTTGCACTCAGGAAGTCAAGACATGAAAATGTTCCTGCCATAGTGACCCTACTACTTTTGAGTATGTACACCTGTCACTCGAAAGTGGCTCGGTGATGTTTTTACTGGTACTTTTTTTGGAACCGATTCCGATGACCCTTATAATCTGGATGCGCGGAAAGCACGAGGAGTTCGATGCTGAGCCTGCAAGTTTTTGTTGCTCATAAAAACACCGATGAGAAGTGAGGGATTTTATAACGTATCCCTTCCTAATGGTATTTCGTTGTTGTCATTTATCAGCATCCATCTTCATATTCTCGCTGTCGCATGTTTTTAAAAATTTACTTTCCATCGCTGAAACATCTGAAAATTCAGACGAACGCGAGCACAAAAATGGCGTCAAGTAGGTTGACTATGTACTTCGCACGCAATTCTGGACAAATGGACTTCGTAATATGCATCATACAGGGTTCTTCTGGAAAGGAATAGGACTGAGCCGATTTAAAAAAAATTATTGAGCCAATCGTTACAATTCCTTAAAACCTTTCAAAATCGGCTCCTTCTGCGTCGATCTGCCAGCGCGATTTCCAAGCATTGAAGGCGTCACGGAAGGCATTCTCCGGAATAGCTTTGAGAGCCGCGGTGCATGCTGCTTGGATCCCCTCTGTCGTCTCAAAATGCATCCCTTTCATCGACCTTTTCAGGCGAGGAAACAAAAAAAAGTCCGGGGGGGCAGCACATCTGGGCTGTACGGTGGCTGCGGAAGCGTTGAGATGCCGGCCTAGGTCAGGTAGCTGTTCACAAGAAAGGCGGTGTGAGCCGGGGCGTTGTCGTGGTGCAACTTCCAGTCGGCTGCGATATCTTGTCGGACCCGACTGACCCTTCGTTTGAGTCTCCTGAGCACTTCCACGTAAAACTTGGCGTTCACGCTTTGTCCAGGAGGAACAAATTCATGGTGGACTTTGCCTTTGATGTTAAAAAAGATAATGAGCATCGTTTTCACTTTGGATTTGCTCATTCTTCCCTTTTTTGGGCGAGGAGACGCCGTCGTGTGCCACTCGGACTTTCACACATGTTCAAATTTTCTTGGCACTTTGGCTTTGAATTGGTTGATTATACAACGCATTCACCAGTTCTGGCCCGCAGTAATTCCATAATATTTCCAGAATTAAAATAAAAGCCAGAAGAAAAGAAATGTTCAAGTAAGCAGCAGGTGATACCTGCGGTCGAAAGGTATTTTTTAGAGACACAAATTTCTTATCAGGCAGCTGCTGAAATACTGAAGCACCTGCTAAAACGGTGAACAAGAGCATTTGTATTGAAATCAAGTGTTCAAGGGTGAAGTCTAGGGATCAACTCGTATTTACTTGAGACTAATGGTGGCAGATATTTCACGAACTGTGATTTAGTAACTGTTATTTCTAAATCACGAATTACGACTGTTACCAGATACCGTGAGAAAGCGTGACGGGATCACGACTTCGGGAACTGTATAAGTGCTTCATGACAACGGCTAATCACATCACGAAGTTAAAGTTTGAATGTGCGATAGATACGCATGCATGCTAGCCGTTAATGTTAAGAATCGTATACCACCGTAAGACTATTATGACCTGTTAGCGTTATCTCCATGCAAAATCGTAGTGGTAATTTTATTAGGATATATATCAGTATACCAGATCTCCTTTCCAGTGGCCCTGTTGAGTTACTCTGAGTAACTCGGAGTGACTCAGTAGCGTTCAGCACCAATACCGTTCCACTGCACGTTGTATTCTAATGCATTGTTCCTGGAGAAGTTCCGTAGCGTATCACTCTCAAACCAAAAACTACTGAAAAGCAGTCAGGGGGGGTGAAACGTCTTATGGGCGAAGTGGCACCGCCAAGGTCGGCTTCTCTATGCAAAATCAAGCAAAACTGCGTTACCGACATCGAGTCACGTGATGCTTGCCGGGATCATTACGTGCTACAGGTAGGTTGTGTACTTAACATATCGGCGTCATGTACATAGTTGGTAGACTATTTAAAATTACATGGAATAGTTACCTCTGGAATCAGCCTCTTTATAATACTTGTAATTTGCACCATTATATAAAGTACGAAAGCTTTTTTGTCTTGTCAACAGTATTTAAATAACGCATGGTAATATCAGTCATAGAGCAGTAAGGTTTATAAAGCAAAACTCTGTCCATCTAGGCCAACAAATTTAAGGCATACGACTGAGCAAGCAATCTAAAAGTGACTAACTAGCTTATTTACAAAGATTATATCAATAACATTAGTGTTTTCTGTACTGTTTCAGAATTATCAAGAAGCAAATCGATGATAAAGTGAGATACCTGTGTTTTTCAGCACAACACAGCATGAACTTTGGAATAAATCTATATTTTCATGTAATTCATTTTTTATATAACTATCTAAAAAGATGTCTAAAACATTTGATTATATGTTGAATATAAACGTATTTTATGCATCATAATTAGTATTAGAATTTTATTATTTTGAAACTCGTTCCCAGCAAAACTGATGAAAGATATATTGCCCTTATTGGGGATAGTTTATCAATAAACAACACCTTCTACAGAATAGACGAGTTCCTTGTGTTTTTGAAAAATAATGCAAATGTCAGGTCCATTAACTTGGCATTCACATGCACGTTTTAAAGTGTCTGTATTCAGTTTGTTTGTTGTTCTTTTAGTTTGCTTTTTATTTCGTCTTCACTTTTTGAAATATTCTGTGTTATACATATGACGTATTGCCTAGCAAAGGAATTGAACTTGAATATACGTTCATGAAATAATCCTTCAATACCAGATTTTCAGCAGGTTTCAAATTATGAACAAACGAAATCCCGGCAGATTTCACTCCTTATTCCAGGCACATTCTCGGCATTCCTTCGATAGTTCCTCCAGATCTCCATCTGACAATCGCCGACTGTGTTGCCATTCGAAAGTCGTGTTCACGTTACGGTTTTAAATCTTTGATATCAAAAAGGAACGATATCAGATATTCAAAAATAACGATTTCGGCCATCTCTACTTGAGAGATCCATTAATGAGTGATACAAATGTGGACAAACGAAAAAGAGCACGCAAGCAAACGCTGTCACTGCAGCTCATTGGTACACGGCGCAATGGACGTGGACAACTGAACATTCCTGTAGGACCGTCCGGCAGCAGGATTTCCATTATTTCCGAGGGATTGATTGCAGCGTACAACCTGTGAATCATTCATGAGCAACCCGCTATCAGTCCTGCAACAGTGCCGTCTTGCCAAACAGGGACATGCTAAATCAGGAAACATCAGTTTTAGCATGTGAGAAAAATGCTTGATTATCATTTGTAAAATTGTTTCCATGTTTCGATTAATGCTGAATCTTCAATAGTCTTGAGGAGGATTGCGGATATATCCCTTCTACTTCCCACGCCAATTTAATTCATCACAGAAAATCATGTCACTCTCGGAGCCACAAATTTGTCAAGTATTTTTCAACAATAGCAGAGAGCAAGTTAGCGGACGTTCCATCAATATGTACATCACAAAACCTCGCAGCATCATCAATGTTCTACGACGATGTGACCACTGAAGAGATCTGGGAAATAATCAGCAGCCTTCCAAATGAAAGAAGCAGTGGAAATGATTGAATTTCAACGCGAGTAATGAAGTTTGTGAATCATGAAATATCCTTCCCCTTGTTGGTGCTTACTAATAGATCAGTGAAACAAGGTAAAATTCCCGAGGAGCTTGAGAGTAGCTATTGTGATTCCCGTACACAAAAAAGGTTACACTACAAACGCTGAAAACTACAGACCAATATAACTTTAAACGAAAATCATTGAAAAATGTCTGTATAAACGTATCTTGTATTTTTTCAATCGTTATAATAACTTATTCGCTATAATGACTCAACAGATACCCAGGATGGATTTAGATCCTCATGATCTAAAGAAACATTGAGCGAGTGAAAGAAACCTTTAGACACAATAATCTGCTTACTTCAACTTATACTTATACTTATACTTCAACCATTATATCTACAAATGCGCATTTTAACCCAGCAATAAAGTTATTCGTAACAAGGCAATAATGGTCAATATAATACTAGAACAGGGCATGATTTGAGTATACTGACTCATAGCTCTGCTCTATTCCAAAACTCTCCTTTAATAGCTTGCATTAAGATATAATATGGCGGGTGAGTTGCGGAGAAGCACTAATATCCTTGCGCTGAAAAAATATCTCAGGAAATATCTGGTTGAAAAATGCTTTTACCCTCTACATGGTGTTTTTCACTCTCGTTCTCAGTGAGTTATCGATTACCATGCAGTACACGTATTGTAATCTCAGTTTTTATTCAAGTTTTAGCCTAAGTATGGATGTTTTTCATGCTGTTACATTGAATGTCTTCCTGGTTTGATATCTACTGCCTTTTCATATACATCACTCATTTGGCCTTTTCTTATATGTTCAATGATTTCCTCTTAAGCTTTTAACCATTTGTTCTCATTGCTCACTGTTTATTGTATTTTTATGTGTAACAAACAGATTTTCCTACGTTTTTTGTATATACTTCAATGACGGTTATCCGCTAGACGAACATTTCTTGTGATAACGTCTCTTTATATATATATATATAAATAGAAAGGAAAAAGGTACAAACAAATAGAAAAATAATGGGAAAATTCCGCAAAAAGAAGGAAAGTGAATTCGAACAGAAAATAGGATAGGTAACCCGAGCGATACGTATTTCTGCTTGTTGGCTTCATGAGGCCCGAAATGAATGCACATATGCAACTACAAAAGTAGATACGCATGCCCATATATCCGGATACGGGTTTAACCTGAGGAAACGAAGATGGAGTGGGAAAGAAAATGACACACGAAGTCACAAACAAGAGCCAACCTACACATTGTAGTATAAAATGGCTATAAGACCTCGACTTTTCAACATCTAACCGCAACCACGCAGCCGGTTATAGCCACTTGCTGTGGTACTTCAAGCCCAAAGGATATACAAAGAGAAAGGATCATCTGGAAAAAGGTATAAAGCAAATAGAAAAATAATGGGCAAATATATATAATATACATAGCACCATTCTCACTGACGGAGTAAGTAAAAAGACTTCTAATCAATTGAGCATGGTTGCTTTTTTACTAATTTTAATATTTCTTTTAGCTCCTGATCATGGCAGCAATGTCTATCGAAAGTTTGAGTATTGTAAGTCAAAAGGGTAGACTTAGCATAATTTGTTGATATTCCAAAGAAAAGTTTTCCATTTAACTATATATATTCATCGTTACTGATTGAACACTTTTTGATTATTGCGCTGTACCAATATGTGTTTTAACTTTTTTAAATGTTATATACTTTTCTGTAGTTGCTAATGTCTTTATTTATTATATATGTATACGCATTTTTTCGACCTATTTGCTCAAACGCATGTATTTTAGTTTCACATTGACAAGTCTTACATCATGTAACATTATCTACTAAGGACAATACGCTATCTATCTATATATCTACTTATCTTTTCCGTCATTCTTTGTGTGCTTGTCTGTCAGGTAACCTTGGCCCCTCTATAACTTGTAAAGTACCGCTTTGACACAACGTTACTACCATGCCAAGGAAAAGAAAGTATTACAAAAATTTATCCAGTGGCGGCTGACTTAAGGGGAAAAAACTAAAAAATGAAAATCGCTCAAACTTCCGTTATTGACGTCTCAGAGACTCCGATTTTTTCTAAGGGTTGGTATAAGTGAAATACGTTATGTTTTTCAAGAAGTATTCACATGCCATTGAAACAAAAATAAAAAAGGTTTATGTTAGATAGTTTGAGTAGTATTGTAGAGTTTCATGATATAATAATAATAATAAACGCCTTTATTGTACAACAATAAATTGATGTACATATCGTAGTTAAGCGAACATGCATAGTCAAGTTTCGATTTCATCAGCGTTTTACATCAAGTAGGTCGACTTAATTTCTCACATAGAATTACTTCCATCAGTTTCTCTTGAAATAGCGTTAGATCTGGTAATAAATAATGATCTAATCGATGATAGAATTACGTGGCAAGTACAGAGTCAACCAACTTGACGCCATTTTTCGGCTAGTGATACTTCCCAGACCTGGGTCTTCGTAGTTCCAATATATTGTTCAACTCTTTGTCAGCTGCTGACCAAACTGATGCAGAAATTGATGAGACAAGTTCATGTCTCTGCTTTCTGCTATAAGTAAGGTTATGGAGAAATGCATAAATGGGGAGCTACCTCGAACTCACGGCTTGATCAGCGACATGTAGTAT